GATCTCTCTTCTATCTCAATCTTCTCTCTCTTATCTTCCTCTAATTTTTTCTTTTTTCTCTTTCTACTCTTTTTCGTCTCTCTTCCCTCTCTCTCTCTCTCTCTTCCCTCTCTTTTCTGTAATTTTTTTCCTCTGTTTTCCTTTCTTTTCTCTTCTCTTTGTTTTCTTTTTTTCTTCTCTGTCTTTTCATTTTTTTCCTCTTGTCTTTCTCCCTTCCCGTAACTTTTAATGGTGTTAATCCAAGATGTTAAAATCTTCTATACTGAATGATGATTATTCAGCATCGAAACACCATTATCGAAACGCCATTAATTTAATAACGATATCAACAGGCTCAAGAACGTAAGCGAACCTAAGCGAAAATGAAATCCACAAACAACTACATCAGTGTATTTGATAGGAACGAAATAAACATAGTTCGCCTCTTTTGTGCATTTCGGTTTGACTAGAGCTCTTAGGGTACGTACCGACTAACTGAGCTTTAACTGAGCCTTTACATATGTGCCTACTTTCTACTGGAAGAGACTTACTTCATTTCAGTTGGAAGTGCAAAACTTGTGTCAAAAGGTGTAATATCCTTTACTTTTTAGTTCTTGTTTATTTTAAGCTTTCCAATGCATATATGTGACATTTCACTTCATCTGTGGATGCGATGCATTCAGCTTGGATGCGATTTGTTTTTACTTTCTCAGCTAAAAGATATCTTACAGTTTCGCTTTAGACTAAAGCCAATCTAAAACTTTTATTAAAAATTTTGTGAAAATGCCGCGGAGTTCGTTGGCGGAGTTCGCTGTGCATTTAAGTTTAATTAAAGTTTTAATGCGATTTCGGTGACATAATCAAAAGTTTAATTGCATTTTAGTTGCAAATGTTGCACAATTTTTGTTTATAAAATTTTCGGAGTGATTTTTGTTATTTAACTTGAATATTGTGTAAAGGAATTGTAAATATTTACAATTAAATTAATTGTTTCGAAAAGGCTGTTATTAACTGCCATGATTTTTTACTTTCAACGCATTTTAAGTGAAAATATAACATTTTTTCATAGTTGGAAATGCACTCACTTTATATTACATTTAAAAATACTGTTGAATAAAAAATGAGTTAATAAAAAATACCATATTAATTTTTTTTTTATTTGGCTTTTTGTGATATTTTTAAAAATGTTGTGTGCAACATATTATGTCAATGGCAACAAATTCATACTTCGAAGCAACAATTTGCTTAAAGCCTTTTGATAAAAGCATTTTTGTTGCTATGCCATAAATGATATGTCAAACAACAACGCACACTCCCATACACCCATATCCTTCCGTCATACACATATACATATACACATGCACATCCAGTCAAGCGATGAAACACTTGCATTTGTTGCACAGTCACAGTCACAGTGTCGATGTCATATGTGAAATCAATAAAGCATATGTGCCGCGGTATTAAGTGAAAGGTGGAAGGCGCTCGACATGAACGCCAGAGCAAAGCCATCAATAAAATTGTCATAAATTTATTTTTATATCAAATTGAAATGCACGAATGCAAAAAACATCAAACATCGGAGTGTTGCGCTATTTTGTGTATGTGGGGTCGGTCCTTTACCGTTCATGATGCCATTTATAGGCACTAACTCACATGTCCTTGTGCCCACACCCAAACATACACTCAAAGCGGCAACTGTGTCAATTTTAGTACTTAAATTATCCTTTTAAAAAACTCGTCGCTATAAGTGCACAGAGCATGAGTACTGAATTATATAATATACATATAATATATATATATATATATATATATATATATATATATATATGAAAGTATATATGAAATATAAAAGCAGCTAAAAATTAATGTGCACAAACAGGCGCGAAAAACATGAAAATTTTATTAAGTATGCAAATGTGTCAACTTCATTTCCAATTCACTGGCAGTCACTTGTTGCAAACTCACATTTATTTGCCGATATTTGAGTGAGGATATTTGTCAATATACACCTACGCTTGTCTAGATGCTAGATATAAATTCAATGGGTTGTTGGGTATTGGTTAAATTCAATGTTAAACTGTTGCGCTGCTTTGAACACTTACGAGTTGAAAGTAGCATAATTGACAATAAAATTTTATAAAAAATATTATTAGTAATCAAGAAGAAAAATTCTGACGTGAGCCGGATTTATTTATAATTAATTTATTTATTAATTTATAATTAATCATCATCTTCATTTTTTGTTGCTGTCCAGATCTTCAGTCGTCTATTTTACTAGATAGAAATTCCATTACTCTCATGGGGTCATACCCGCCTTGATATATATGAACCCACTCCCAAAGTCACTGCTAGTAAATAAATAAATAATTAAGAATATAGACGATGGCATATAAATAGTCAATCAACTAATCTTTTAATACATTTTTTAAAAATAAATAACTTAAATTTGTTATTTAAAATTAATTATGACGAAAGAAACTACTTTTTAAATAGAAACAATTTTTTAGAAGATTTTTAAATAATATATAAGAAATATTTCCAAAAGGATCATTGATGATAGGCAATATTCGAAAGAAGTAAAAAAAATTCAATTAAAAAAAATAAAAAAATTATATTTAATTTACTACTGTTCAAAAATCTTTCTAATAAAAAATAACTTAGAAATTTAAAAAATTAATATAATAACTACATATACTGGTTATTCAATCGGACTTACGTTTGTCGTGCAATTCTGGCGTCACATTAGTTCTTTAGTTCTGTTTGATTTTTTCAATGTTCATTACGTTGTTCAACATACACAATTCTATTATATTTTTCATTATACGGGGTTAGGGGATTGAAGTGTTACCAACTATACAAAGGTACATCTGTTGAACTGATTGTCAACTACATGAAATTCATTAGAATGACAGTTGTTTATATTGTTCATAAGATTTAAATTTTATAGAACAAAAGTTATTCGAAATGAAATTCAAGCCTAATAGAGTGATTGCGTTATATTTGGCTAGAAAACCACAACCTGTAATTGTTCGTGAGCTCAAACACCTCAAAGTGAATAAAATATTTGTGTTTTGTACCATAAATGCGATTTATCATCTGGAAAATGTCTTAGAAGTTTCTTTAGAGCCATAGGCACGCAAACTTTTCGGTCGTAGACCATGGACGTTTCAACAAAACTCGGCATTATCTCATAGAGCATCGTGTCGTGTTAATCGAAAAATGGTTAAAAAATCATGTTGCACAGTTCATTTTATCCACACAATGGCTTTTTAATTCCTCAAATGCAAATCTAATGGACTATTCAACCGGGACTATTTTAAAGAGCAAGATGGATGCGCTGAAGAGAGTCATTGTTCAGGAATGTTCCAAAATACCGGAAGATCACATTCGTGAAGCATGCAACTCTTATTGTAACAGTTTGAAGGTCACAGTCAAGGCAAAAGTTGACTACATCGAGGTAGAGTGAATGGATTCAGAAATTTCATGTATTCAAAAAAAATATGGTCGCTTGAGAGAGAGAGAGAGAGAGAGAGAGAGAGAACACTTTAATCGCCTAGTTCTGTTCTGTATTAGCACAACTATACATTTATAAATTTTTAAATGAATGCTTTCACTGAAATATTATTTTTTTTTTGTTGTACTTAGAATTTGTAAACAACAATTTATTTCATATTTATAAAACATAAAAGCCAAAATTTAACAAATTAAATTTTAGTTCTTCGAAATTTTTAGAAGTTTTTAAGTTTAAACAAAAGACATTTTAAATAAAATTCTTTGTATAAAAAATAATAAAAAATAAATATATATACGTTTTTATGACAATAAAACATCACACATATATTTTGTTTAAGAGGACGATTACAAGAAAAAGTTAAATTATTGAAAAAATATTCTTCAGCAATAAATATTCGGAAATAAATGGATAGGTATGATGCAAGAAAATTTTAAAGAAAAGTGAAGTTTTCCGTAGAATTGATTGAATATGTTTTAAAAAATATCAAATTTTGACCATCATAATCGTTTCTAGTAAAAATATTCCTTACAAAACTGAAAAAAAAAATTTGTTAAATAAAAACACTGTAGTTGACTACTTTTCGAAACCTCTTTACTAAATAAAAATTGAATTACGACATAATTTATTTGGAAGAAAGCAGTTTTAAAACTATCAAAAAAAACGTACTTTAAATAAAAAATTAAAACAATTATTTAGCAAAATTGTAAGATTTAAAATATTTTTATTTATAAGAACTTTCGCTTAAGGAAGCTTTCACTGTACTTATACATATTTTGAAATAAACTATGATTTATTTATATGTCATCCCATTTTTCGTCTCATATTTACAATTTTTAAATATTTTTTTAAATTTTACGCAACTACATTAAAACATTAAATTATTAAACATAACAGAGTAATTTTAAAAGGAAGAGTAAACACACCCCTTCTTCATTCAAAGACTGACTCTGACAAATTGATGCAATTGTTTAAATATTTGCCAACGTAATTAACTTAATTCATTTCGTTATCCATTAGATGAACACATCAACAAAATGTACTTATTGCTGATGCTGCTCAAACTCATATGGATTACAAGGCATACGGCCATGACTGCACTTATTATACTGCAAACTGTTTGCACAAGTAAAGGTACCCCAAAGCCAAAAGTAAGCAAATGCGAGTGCATTTGTTAAAAGTATCTGCTCTAGCATTGAAAACTAAATACAAAATTAGTTTGAAGAGTTTCAATGTAGTTTATTGAAGCTATTCCTCAATCATAAGAGTTCGAGTAAGGAAAATAGGCAAATAAGATAATACAGATTCCCAAACGTAGGCTCATAGTAAATGTGGTATGAGCCATATTGACTCAAGTCTGAGTAAATGCAATCGTCATGCAATCATAATAAAGGAATTGATTTCTATATTGTCTTAAGTGAATTTTCCCTCTGAAATTGCTTTTCATTTTAAAACAAACATTTTGCAAAAGTGATAAATTTGTAGTTTATTTATTTATTTGTTTGGTTTGGAATAGCGGCAATTTTACAAAATTAACAATTAAAAATACACTTTATATGCTACGAAATTTCTGTTTTAATGTGAAAGCGGATAATCACTTTACTTAGGCCTCCTTCGGCGAATCGTCGCCATTGGCCATTTCCTTGCGTTTTCGACGACGCATCACCAAATTTGTTATTAATCGTACTGTACAGAAGTAGAAGATCTCTACAATACTTAAAGTTGAAACACCCATGAAGAGACCCAATAAGCCACCACAATTGGCGAGAAAATCAGTAGTACCATAGAGTTCCGAACGCCTTGATGTTAAAAATTGTGCTTCTTTGAAAAAAATTGACAAACGTGCAAGCTTTAAGCTAAAACGAAAATGATAACTATGGCTTAAAAATACGATTCTTTTAGTGTAGAGATTTACAAACAATTTGTCTTTATTTTGCAATAACACAACGGCTGATAAGTTCACAGGATAACACACCCATATCGCCATTAATGAAATGTTTATATAAATTTCAAAAAGTGGCAGCACTCAAATGATAGCTGTCAAATTTTTATTATATATGAATGATTACTCATTAAGTTACATTTAACGGAAGATTAGAGGAACGTTGGTATGATTATGTTACTCTTGAAAAAGAATATGTTGATGAATATAGTCGAAGTTTTCCAAATAGTTGTTAATTTATTGGTTACCCTATGGACTTATCAGCCAATGTGTTAAATGACCGCTCTTAATTTTATATGTATTAAAATTTTTTCCACTAATACCTTTCCTTTTCTCCCAAATCACCATTCTGTTTTAAAGTGTTCGACATGGTCTTGTAGTCAAAATCAGCCTGTGAAATTTCTGCTTCGTACGCCACAGAAGTACATGCCGGTAAACAATTACAATCAGTGGGACCACGATAGTTTTCCGCTGATGTTTTTATGCCCTGATTAAACTCCTTAAGTAGAAGATTATCTTCGGCTTTGTTAATGCAATCAATATTAGCAGCACCACAAACAGGTATTTCATTATTTCCTGTTAAATGAAAATATGTTAGAAATGAATCATTCCCATAAAAATGCATTACTTGGCATGGAAAACTTGACACAACCACACTCAGTTTGGGTATAATTGGCTAAGCATTCCAACTCACAATTGCTTTGTGTATAAATCTGGAAATAACGCAAGTAGCGTTCCTTCTGAAAATAGCATTGCCGTCTAATAAAAAGTAATATTAATATTAATAATATAATATTATTAAAAAAAAAAAAATTTAAAAGAACATGGACTTGCAAACCTGTTCGGTTCATAATGTTTTAATCCTTCTGATGTTGTGATAATTTTTGGTTTAATTGAGATTAAAACTTCTTGATCAAGTGGTATACGAAAATATTGCTTCGTTACTTGTGCCACTTCCCCTGGTGTATGCAATAAAATCTGTAATACAAAAAATACTAGTCAGTTGGGTATGTTTATTTCTTCATATGTAGATTTTACTTTAAAACCTTGCACTGGACCACGACACAAATCATCAAAATCTCTTTCAATACCATTTAAAAGTAAATATAGACCAGCTCTGGAACCTGGTCCTAAAACGCGATTAGGAAATGTTTCTGGACTAGCATCAGCACTGTACCCATCTTCAACATTCCAATCTGTAGTCGCACGAGTTTCTTTTTCAAACAATATATCTGTAATTAAACTGAAGTAAATTGATCATTTATGATCAAATTTGCTAATAATTAGTTGTGTTAGTAACTGACCCCTCGTCACGATATATTTCTCCTGGACTTAATGAATTGAAACTATAACAAACACCTTCTTCCGTGATAAATTTTCTAAACAGTTCTTTACAGTCTACTGGTATATTGCGCCATTTACAACCCAAATATGTGTCATTGAATGTTGGCAGTATTGTACTCAATGCATTTATCAGGTCTTTGCCCTCATTTATTTTATCACCATAATTCAAATCGGCCATTAAATGAGCTTCACAAACTTGTGAAATCGCGTTCAAATAATAAACTCTACAAAATTATTTTATTAATAATTAAATACAACATATTTATGTTTAATATTTTTTATTATTCTTACTCATTGTCGGTCAAACCTTCTTGCGTCTTATTTGTTACAAAGTCTGTAAGCTTCCAAAAAACATCCGTATAATTAAACATCGATCTAACTGATTTTGTTTCCGTACACACAGTCACTGCCGGAAAGGGAATTTCCCAGACTGGCGTTGATTTCTCTGCAAAACTCACAATTACCGGATTTGTATTCCATTTGTCCCAAATATTTGTTATCAGAGTAGCGCAAGTATATATCGAAAAGGTAAAAACCATTATCCAAAATAATCTAAGAAGAAATTTAAAGCCAAGACATTATAATTTTGCTCAATAATTTTTGTGTTTATTTGTTTTGGGCACACTTTAATTATCATCTGTACATATACATACATTCTTTGAAAATTAGAAATTAGGTGGAGGTGGAGGTTCTAATATAACCTGTACGAAATCCCATCCATAGCCAACAGATAAAACTAGAAGCAATGCATTTTTGTTTTTTTTACTGATAACATACCTATATATAATTCAAACTTCCTTCGAATCTGATTCGGTAATTTTTTCAATCGAGATGATCTTTTAATGCACTTTCAGTGCAATTTTATTTTGGATTTTTGAATCTTGTGTGAAATATATAATACTCTACATTTATTTATAACACTCTAGATATTTTGCAAAAGTAGCAAGATTACTTTAAGATTAACAACAGTTTTTTATGATTTTACATAAAATATTCGATTGGACAAAAAACTTTGACAGATTGAAAGTGAATCTAGATTGAATCCAGATTTACCAATTGTGACCGCCATATATAAACATTCGGACATATTTTCTTAAAATTATATTCTTTAATATACCGAATTAGTTGCTTTATATCGTTGAGTGAGTCTACAGAGCGATTTTAAAATATGTAGTTTCTCATACAGTTCGAAAGGATGAATGTCAGTGTTTTCACCTTCCCGAAGTATTATACCTTAAGCATCACAATATTTCAGAAGGTCTTCGTTTGGTTTATTTTTCATGTGATTAATTCCATTAATTCCATAATTGTTCAAAGTATCCATTAAGTACTTCAAATTGACAATCGGTTTCAATTATGATAACATATATCCTTGTGGTAAAAAAGTTTACTTAATACTAAGTTAAGTTAATACTGTATTTCAATGGATTGTATGGGTTCATCAATATGTTCATAACTGAACAATCGTTTATCTTTGTTATTCTCTTCTTTTAAATTTAGGTGGAATTTTGTGACTACTTTTTACTACAAACAATTTGTTCAACGTTTTATCCAAATCCAGTATTACGAGAGTCTTACAAAATGCGCGTAGACGGTCATTACCGATCTTCAAGTTTACTTAAACCGATTACCATAGTCTATTTAAAATGTTTACTCGTTGTAAAATTTTATACCACATGAAATTGCAACAATAAACTCGAAAGTTAGCATATCATTCAGGACTGCTTCCCAATGAGTTAAAATATATTTTGAAAATTGTATATTATAACTATAAAGGAGTAGTTTTATTAGCTTTAGTGGATTTCAGATATATGGATAATTATTTTTCACTCAATTTTAAATTAATAACAGTTATAGTTTATTCTCTATATTCAAATTTAAAAAAATTGTACTACTTTCAAAATATTTCTCTTTCTTTAATATATTTTATTAAAGTCAATTTTCATTGGCATTTATTAAAAAAATGTCACTTCTCCGTTATCTCGCCTTTTTATTTTGCTTAAAATTTATCTCACGCATGGTTGCATTTGAAATGTCCCTTAATTTCAGACGAATTTCCTTAATTTCGTTCTAATCTTAAAAACAAATTTTGTATGGAACAAATAACTTAATTTCGCTGAAATTAAGTTGAAATTAAGATGAAATTAAGATTTTGCGAAATTAACGTGTGTTTCAACATATTATTGCTTTCTAAGTAATAGGCCTATTTTTAATTTGTCTTTATATCTGTATATTTTTACAGATTTTTTATTTATTTTATTTATTAATTAATAATTAATTAATTTTAATTATTAATTAATATTTATTAATAATGATAGTTTAGTTTATAAAAAACTAATACTAACATGTATAGATATAGCTTTGGCTGCTGAGACCTTCAGCTATTTTACAGATTTTATATTCTTTATTTCTCTTTCAATGGAATTTTAAATAAATTAGTCTTACTTGATTGTTAAAGTTAAGCTCTGAATTAAACACAATATATTAGTTTTTTTTTTTAAGTGTCAATATTAATAATTATTTAAGTTTTCTTGTCTGTTTTGTGTGAAATTATATTTTATTGGAATTTTTGATGTAAATGTACTATTATATTTTCACGGTCAGTGTGTAGGAGTGCTAAACTTTTCGTTTTAAAAAAACTTAATTTCACTAGGGTATTTTGAACATTTTCACTTAACATTTTTATATTTTACTTTTTGCTATTATTTTGACCATTATTTTCACTTCATTTGCATTTTATTGCACCACACTGCACATATGTATATAAAAAATATTTATATTATCCACTCTGGCGTATATAGTAAAAGACTACATTTTCATACCTCTCCAAACAAGGTCGCTTTTGTTCGCCAAGATATTTCATGCCATGAATTGTGCTGTTATCGCAATATTCTGAAAAAATGCCCCATGCAGCCTGCAACTTGCTACCATACCGAATTTGTTGTTTAGTGTCCACATCGTCGTCGCTGTCATCAGAAACGGTTTCTTTGAATGCAGCAACGGTTTTGGCCATAAGTGCAGCACGCTTCCTGTTGGCATTTTGCAATAAAACAAATTTATTACATTTTTATTTATTCATTTTACGCTTAAGCATTATTATTTTTTTTTTGTTTTTTTTTTTTTGTCTATTGAACGGCTTCAGTACCATTGTGCTGCTACTGGTGCCGCAGCCAGTGCAGGCTTCTCCAGCGGTTTTTTGTTAGGCTCCATATTTTATGTTATTCAAGCAGCACTACGCTGCTGAGGAGCGCGTAAACTTTCCGATATGAAACCGTCAGCGGTCGAGTACAAATAAGCAAGCTTATACCTGAACAAAGCTATTTTATACCAGCTTAATGGTTACTGGGAGTGTTCTTAATTCGAATTAAAAAATTTCATTTGCATATAAAAACTACACCATCGGGAATCTGCAAAGGTCTCATGCGTGGTGAACGCATTACTTGCAAAAGCTTACAAATTCAAAATTACTAAATATCCTTAAGGATTAAAATATTTCAAAAATTCTTCTATTATGTTTCTACAGGACTCACAAAATGAAGTCAATGAATATGTTAAGTTTTTGATAGTGCTGCAAATTTTTATTTGCCTTTGTTTTCTTCTCACCTGTGTGTTTTTTTTATATCATTTTAATTAACATTAAATTTTCCAATTATGTCACATTGGTCCTTAATATTATACGCAAACATTTCGTAGTGCTTAATTAACACAAATTACAATGTCTGGTCTTGTTACTGTGGGAATTATATGAACTTGTTGCCTTGAAAAAATAATATTAATTGATAATTTTGCAACACATTATTAAATGAATAAAGGTGAGGCTTCTTAAGGACCTAAAATGAATACATAACAGCTGTTGAATTTATTTTTCAGAAGAATTTTTATTAGAAAACTACTAGTTGCTTTCAAAAGTTAGCTAAAATTTATTCAAAGAATTAGTTGCGTTGAAAAGTGCAGTCAGATAAATTATTGTGCAAAAATTTTGTGGAATTACATTAATATACAAATTATAAGTTAAAAACAAAATATATAGTATTCATAGCGATACTATGACTTAATTTAATATTTATATATATAATTTAAAACTAATTTTGAGTCATTAAGTTATTAAAGTTCTTCGGCATTAATTAATAAAATCATTTTCGGCATACACTTCTTTTAAAGTTGAGCAAGAAAAAGTTTTAATATATTTTATTTTACGATTAATTATAAAATGGTAAATATTTTTTATATTTTTTAAACAATTTAGTGTTTAATAAAATAATATACAAATAAATTGGTAATACCTATCCTATTCCTCATGCAAGTATTTCGGAAATAGCTTGACAATCGATTGCTTGATCGGTTGCAGTGGCAGGCCATTAGATAACTTCCATGTACCTCAATTAGCGATTTTTCACCGTTTTGCTACCACATTCGTCGCCAGAATTCAAGTATAGAAGAGTATAGACTAAGTCCATCCTGCCGAATTTAGATAATATAACAGGTCTTTCGTCTGTACCGATGAATAGTCTGATAAACTATCAATGAAGTATCTTCCTAAAAACCTATAACTTCTGGAAGCTAAAGCCCTGTACTTACAGAAAAAATTTATTATGATTTCTTTTACCAGCGGGTTTCCACAACTTCTGCAGTGAGGATTATGAGGGATGCGCAGTTTCTCGCTTGGGTTCCTATACACGAAAGACCAGAAAAACTGAATTGTCCTTGCAGTGTTCACGCGGTCTCTAATAATGAGTTCAAAAAAAATTGGTAGTTATCGAATCTTTTATTAACCCATTTCGGACCAAAAGTTTTGTAATCAAGTTTTTTTTTATTTGAAATAAATCAATTTCTTTTGGTGGACAACCCTCTTGAATGAACACAAGTTGACTCACTTTAAATGCAATCAGGTATAGATTTTAGTTCAAGAGAAGGTTGCCTGCTGAATCCATGTAAGCCGCCTATGGATCGTTGTTGTTGTTCAAAATTGCCCCTCATAACAGTGAATAGGTTTTCTAAATAGATTTCGTAATACACATGTTCTTGAGTCAAGTACAACAGCGTCACATTAGCCTATATATTTATTTTCTAGCAAATTTAATAAGGCTTTTGAAATTTTACCAACTATTAAGAGTTCTCGATAAAAGGGTTTCCAAATATTTTACTCCAGCTTTTTACCAAGGCTGGGCATCTGTATAATAAGTGAAAGCTTCATATTCGTTTCTCTTTAGTTTGACAGTGACCGCAAAAATCAACAAAATAACTTTAATTCTATATATATGCGTCTCTTTAAGGCAAAGACTCATTACAAACTCCATCAGGAGCTTAAAGAGTCTACAAAAGTTTTCCACTGGTTTCTATTTTGTGGTATTACTCTCAATTCGTTAAACGATTTGCCCGTCTTCTACTGAACTGTACCTCTCTAGGTTATTGCTGGAATTATATTATTCTCTTAATTTTGGGGCTACTAAAGTTCTAGCTACTTAGTTCAAAATGGGTTTATTAACCCATTTCGTACCTTCATGTGGTGCAGCATACGGCTTTTATATTTATTATTGAGTTCGATATCTAAATAATAAAAAAATACATATTTTGAATAATTTTCATCTGTCCATGAGTTTACCTTGTCAGACATAAAAAGTGCGAAAAGAACCTCTTTTTTTAATCAAATAAAAATTTAAATAAATAGAAATAAAAACTAATTAATTTGTTAAACCAATATGTTTTGCTTATAAGCCGTGGGCTCTTTCTTCGGATAATTGGTATATCTTCCAGTTTCTGCCTTACGCTGGTGCATCTGACAAATAATTGGGAACTGCATCTGTTGTAATAGATTTATTGAGCCATTGTAAGCATCTATTGCAACATATCGTTCACTTCGACAATTGTTTCACATCGCATTATTTGTTATGCTTGTTGAAAGAACGTGGTTTCTAATCATATGGCACTATCGTTCAAATCGCATTGCTGCTATCACACTGAAAGCAGGCAAGCAACACAAAGGGCAGATCACATTACAGAAATATGAATCAGATTATGTACTATAAGACAAATAATATTGTGGCAGCTCGTTAGATGGACAATTCTGAAGTCACGGAACTAATAATAATTCTGTTGAACCCATGGTAAATAAGTTGGCCACAAATTATTAAAAGATATTTACCTTTCGAGCAATATACCACGTGTGAAAATAAATAATATTATATTGATTGCAGACAACGACGCAAGTAAACTTATACCTTTTTACATAGTATAATATGTAAGTGATTATTCAAATATATTTTTGAATAATATCTGAAAAGCATAAAGCATTGACTTTTAGGTGTATTTTATACACCTTACAATAATACTTGCTTCACCATGAACGTACTTAAATATCATATATGCGAACAAAATAGACTCTCTTTGTACTGGCAAAGAGAGAAAAAATTACTATGAGTCCCAGTGTGTGGTTGACCACACGACACTATTCTGAAAAACTAATTTTCAAAAAAAAAATTTATTTTTGCAGTGAATATTTTTAATTTAAAAAAAAACACCTTTCTGAAAATTCCTCCAAACAATTCGAATCTTTCCAAAATTTTAACTTTCTTGGTTCTTAATGGGTTAATAAATTTCAGTGCTATTCACTAAATTGGAATGAAGAACTGATTGTTAGCTGTAGGAATGATTATACATATAGCGATAGCTGAGTTATATTATTCTAATCTGGAGTTTTCTCAATTTGCTTCTATAGGTAATTAATAAATTCACTTGCTGTGTTATATTAGAATGAAATTATTATTCAGCTATAGAATAATTGAATTAATATATTCTCGCATTCCAGGTACTATAAAGATGACTATAGACAAATTTCGAAATACCGGTAGCAATAAATTATTTTTGAAACTAAATTTGAAAGCTATATATTATTTAACAGTTTATTATTTAACACAAAATAAATATGTATTATATATTCGATCAGTATATACAAATATAAAAATAAAATTTGATAATTAAAATAATAAATTATAATTAATTGATTTAATTATAACAATTTTTGAATTGTTATATTCAAAAATTCTCCATTTCTGATTTCAGGAACTGTAAATATGTAAGCAAGCACGTAAAATTTGAATTGTTTATATATTTAAAGGTTAAAAACTTTGTATTTCTTGTGAAGACTTAAGTTTGGTCACGCCTATGTGAAACTTAGCTAATTAATATATTTATAATAACCTAAAAATGGCTATAACTTAACTTTAATATATATAAATAAATATTAAACAGTTGCAAAAAACGCTAACCACGAATATATATACATTTACATACATACATATATCATTATTATATTATCGGGTCAGTATCCTAATGGCTGGTTTGCTATGCAAAATTTTAAACATAATATGCGTTAATAATTCTCAATTGGTTTCCTTACAAGTTCCCATATATAGCATTCAAAAAGATGAGTTGCCATATTTTAATTTTAATATAATGTATTAAATTCCCTACGATACGAAGACCTGATACAAACAGCGTTACAAATTTACCGTTCGTACCTCTACATTGTTAATAAATGCCAAAAAAAGCCATTATTTTTAATTTTTGCAAATGTGTAACTTTATATAATCTCCAAAACTAAAACTAAGTACCTAACTAAGTAAGTACCTAAGTACCTTTTTTTAACATTAATTTTAGAGTTGCCAGAATTTGACATTCTTGTCATTTTTTTTTAGGGTTGCCAGGATTTAATATTCTCGAATCAAATTCTTCACAATATGTTAAAAAAGTTATGTTTGAATACCTATTTGCAGTACTTGTGTTTATAAGTGTCAAACATTAATTATAAAAGTTGAATATATTAATATTAGCTGAACGAACACACTTTCTTATTAAGATTCAGTATCTAAGAAGCTTAAAAAGACTCCGATCAATAATAATAATATCACTATTACAAGATTGCCGTAAAGCATGCTAATGGTTGGTTTGCCTTATATAATATTAAACATCAAATTTGGGTTCAAAATTCTGAATAGTTTGCTTACAAGCACGGTTGCCACTTGAAAATTTTTTTCTGTACCAAAATTGATTTAAAAAGGTACCATTTCTGTAAAAAAAGGTCCAAAATTTTTCTATTGTCTTTTTATAAAAGAAAATACAATTTATATAAAATGTACAAAAAGTATAAAACAATACAATATCCACAATAAAGTTGGGTCGCCGAAAAAGTACCATTTTTTGAACATGAGTACCAGAGTACCAAACGGAAAAAAAAGTACCAATTTTGGTACTAAAGTACCATAAGTGGCAACCGTGC